AATACCGAAACGTGTCCAAAAGCGGCCCCAATTAGAAAAGATCGATGATTACTTGCCATTCTTGCGCTGATCCGCCAACTCATGGTATCTCAGCGTCATTAACAAACTATCAGACAGCTCGGCCTCGTCTGGCTCGGATCCCCCTCCATCATCTTCTTCCTTTTTCTAGGGTTTTTTCGTCTTGGGGGTGAGAACATTTCCAGAAGTCTCAAAATATAGAACTCAATACTTCCGATGATCATTTAATTGATATTGACTGTGTATAAATTGTGATAGAAAGTACTGATTATCCATACTTGAAGAATATTATAATTTTTTTCAGGGGATGTTCTTTATCAAGTCGATTGTGACATATTTTCTTTAAGATCAATTTTGTAAAGAAATCATTTTTCAGAACCAAAACATTAGAAATCGTATAGACTGGACATGAATCAACAAGATTAATGTAATGCATTAAGAAAATAAAAAAGATATTGAATGGTGGTGTTGTGGGAGGATGTGCGATTTAGAGAGGATGAGCTGTGAAGGGAAAAGATGCTGAAGAATGATGTCTTCCTCTCCTCTGCCATGTGAAATGTTTTTATGCTCCCACGTCGCTTTGCCTTCCTCCCAATTCAGTCACATGGTCTCTCTCTCTCTCTCTCTCTCTCTCTCTCTCTCATACAAACACGTCATAGATACTTAGGCTTCTTGCTTGGTAGCTTCCATGATTCATCCCTAGCACCATTTATGTTTTATTTTGTTAGTTATTTAAGTAGTTAAAAGACTAATAATGATTAGGGAAAAGTTCAAAGTCTCGTGTCATAGAAAGCTGTCCCAATTGCATTTATTATTCATTTGCAAAAGAATAATATCATCCATGTGGTGCAAGAGCACAAATTTAGATGACTACACTTTATTAATTTAATTAAATAAATCATGTTATCTTATATTTAAGTGAGAAAGAATGCTTCAATTAAATGAGTCGTACGGCTTTTCATTTAAATGATTCTATTCTTTAGTATCACGTAATTACTGCATAAGCTGATACTTAACACCTGTAGTGATGAATATCATTACTCTTAAATAAGTCTTATCATTTAATATCATATAATTGTCACGTATCATTGATGATGAATTGCATTTTGCAAAATGACTCGTCGACTTAATCTATTTGTCATCATTAGTATTCATCATCAACCTATCTGATAATAATTCAACAATATTATTCATCACTCTAAATGAATAATATTATTCTTCTTAAAAACGTTTAAATTTACATTTAACAAGTTATGAATACCAAATATTTGTCAAGTTGCGTAAACGCGCTTCCGACCATAGAGCAAATGTGAAGTTTAACAGATTAGCATCACCACCCATTTGATTAGAAAGAATGATTGATATGCAATTCTCAGTAACATACGGCGCTAAAGATGCATTCATGTGCAATGGAGGGAAAAGTTGGCTTGATTGAAGGTACCCACAACCTAATACCATCAAAACTACTTTCTCCCTCTTCAATCATAATTACAAAAACTTTTTCTAGAATAATGCTCTTAAGCATGAGTAGTATAGATCATTATATTTTATAGCTTCAATTAAATGATTTATAAAACTTTACATTTAAATAAATTTATCATTTATTGTCATGTAATTCTCATCCAAACTAGTGATTAACATCAGTGGCGATATTACTCTTTTTTTTTTAAGAATTAAACTAATTGTACAAAAATATTTTGATAGGTACTGAGATGTCATGCATTTGACCCTTTATTTGAATAAGGGTCCGTCTGATTGTAAGGGTGAAAAGAAAATGATTTTCAGATAAAATAATTGCCTAAAACTTGTTTTACAGGGAGTTGTTAATTAAGTGTTTTTTATTGGTATAATTTTCTACTTGGAAATTTTTTTTAAATTTTGGATATTTTTGTGTTCGTTTGGCTTTATTTTACATAAAAATTATCCATTAAAGTGATAATTTTTTCCACAATTGATTATAAAATTTGTATCCAATGCCAAAAAGTAAAAATTTCCTAAAAAATTATTTTTTTATCAAAATTTAGTGTTCGTTTGGCTTCATTTTATATGAAAATTATCTAGAGTGAAAAAAATTTTTACGATCGATTATGAAATTTGTTCCAATTGTCAAAAAAAAACTTCAAAAAAAAGCAGGCTGGAAACCAAATTCTCACCAAAAATGTGAGAATTGGTTTTCACCAAAAACATGAAAAGATAGGCACGTGACTGGAAACCAAGAAAATGATTAGACTAGAAAATGTTGCCAATCAAACATGCATTTTTTGAAAAAGATGGAATTTAATTTTCAATTACATGGAAAAAAAGGTTGTATCAAAGGGCCAAAATGAACTCCGTCAAAAATCTATAAAGAAAACTATACATGTGCATTATTCTTTTTTTTAATGTTAGTTACAATCCCTAGATATTCTAGTCTCCGTACAAGATTGGGCCCAAAAGTAGCATTATTGCACTTGGGTCGAGACCGCAAGACCCTACTTGTTTTTTGGGTACTTACAAAAATACCCTTAAAATTAGGGGTGTTTTGAAAAATCATGTGAAAAATTTTTAGGAAGTAAAAAATACTGTGTAAAATGAAAAAAGTGACACAATGTCACTTTTTTAAAAAAGTGACATAAACTCAAAAAAAGTGACATAAATTTAAAAAAGTGACACACTCAAAAAAGTGACAAATATACTTAAAAAAGTGACATAACACTAATCAAAACATATGTTTGTTATTCAAAAAACTGATAGAAATTTTTAAAAAGTAACAAACAATAAAAAATGAAAAAAAAATCAGAAAAGTGGAGAAAAAAGTGACACGATGTCACTTTTTTTAAAAAAAGTGACAAATTTTAAAAAAATGACAAATATGAAAAACAAAAGTGACAAAAATCCAAAAAAGTGACAAAATTTTTGAATTCAAAAAAAGTGACACAAATTAAAAAAAAGTTACACAAATTAAATTAAAGCTACAGAAAATAAAAAAAAGTGACAAACACTACTTATGTATTCGAGCAGCTAATGTG